ATGAATGGTAACAAATTGCACTTACATGGAACACTGTCATCCTCACTGGTATACTGTGTATACTGGGAGACGTGTCTACCTTTTATAGATATTTTCATAGAAAATTTTCAAAGATGTATACCAGTGAGGACGACAGTGTTCCATGTAAGTGCAATTTGTTACCAATCATTGAAAGTAGAACTCATGTGAATGATATCTGATTTTATTTCACAACGAATGTTTGAAATACAAACTAAGTAGAGGAAAGTATCTTCTGTATAATTCAGTGTTCATGTAGAAGTATTTGTGTCGAAAGATTTCTTTCTTCCGTGTAATTCAATGTCCATATGAAAGTAGCTGTTTCAGGAGGACTTTTTTCTAGTTTGTGTCTGAAAGTTACTTCTTTGCATGATCTACACATCCATGTATAGAATTATTTATTTTCAAATTGATTACTTCCTTTCTTTCTTTGGAAGATTTCCTCATCTTTTTTTGTATCAAGATGGCGTAGTAGAAAGCCAAAAACTTTCTTTCCCATAAATAAATTGTTTTCATTCAAACATATGTTGAAGAACTTTTCAATGGAAAAACGTTTTTATAGTGTATGTGATTTTATTAAAATTCTGTGTTTAGCTATGTATGATATAAATATTAGTGTTAGTGTATTTCAACTTTTTTTCATGTGAATTTTATCTTGATGTACTACTTTACCTACTAATTGACAAATTTCAACACATGTGAGCCATGCCGAAAAATAGAAATAAATAGTGATTGATTGATTGATCGATTATATCCATAGAAGAGCGCCAAATATCATCTCAAAATAGAATATGAAAGGAAAAGTGGGAGACATATGTCTACCTTTTATAGATATTTTCATAGAAAATGTTCAATGACTGACACAGACTTTCCGAAACTATTTCGTTTCACACGGGTAGGGTCTTGTGGATTTTCCATAGTGCTTGTATATTTCCACTGATAACGAATGAGAAGAAATTTCAGTATAATAATTAAACAAAAATATATCTCATTTTCAGGATTTGTGATTACAATATAATAATATGAGAATAACATCTCATATTCATATGCACTAATGTAAAGTGTAATATTTCAATAGTAGTTAACTCAAAAAAATGCAAAAGTTGATATATCTCAAAGTCATATACTGCAGAAGAATTATTTTTGACTCGTCTTCAGCCGCAGAACAGCTTAAAGCATGTGTCATGTTTATGCATAACAAAAGTACTTCGTAATTCTACTCGATATGTCCCAATGAAGGAGATACTGGAGGTGAATAAGTTATCTAATCATTGAATATAGTTTTTCATTACTGATATTTCACATAAAATACCAAATTGAGCCTGAAAGTTTGTGTGTGTGAATACATTATTATTCAACACATCCAATATGTTGTGTCAGTTGATTTGTTGAGCAACATCAGATGGATGATTATTCAAGAAAACATCACACCGATTCTTCGAAAGTTGAACTATGAAAGGTCAATACTTCTTTATCATCGATACATTGAATGTTCAAACATGATATTACTGCATTATCAAAATACTAATTTGGTGCTTAGTTAAGAGAACGGCCTGAGAAAGGTCATTCTTTACTTTAAGATGAGTGAGATGCCAAAGTATCGGGTGTTTGGTAACTGTCAAATTTCTGAAAAATTGTTTCCTTCTTTCCAGACTCAGTTGAGATAGTACATGGATTCAATATACAAACTTAGCAAAACACAAAAAATTTACGACTGTCAGTTGAAAGAAAGATTTTCCTCGACTCCCTGGAAACTTACCGTTTTTGTCGACGTCTATCACATAGAGAGCCCAGGTCATGTCTCTTGATTTTTTTGCAGGTTGTGTTGGAGGTAAGTTCAGTTGATATATAATTTGTGAGACTGCTATAAAGCGGCTACTTCAATAGAAAACATTCGCCAGTGAAATTGATGAAAGAAAATTCAAAATTCAAAAATATTTGTTCTATTAATGACGTATTTATTATGTGGAAATGCANTTTAGGAAAAAAAGTTATATGAAGTACTGGTGATATTTTGACCCCATCTATACATTCCCGAGAGGAAAAGAGGAAGTCCAGGGACACCCTGTATATATATATAAAAGAAATATATTAACTATGAGTTTCTTAGATTGGTGGCATTTAATTATCTTTCAGGAATGGCCGGAGTGACGGTAGGCCATCCTCTCGACACTGCCAAGGTCCTTCTACAAACTCAGGATACAAAGAATCCTAGATATTCTGGCACGATAGATTGCCTCCGATCTCTATTAGCGAAAGAAGGTATTAAAGGTATTTACCGTGGAGTAACGAGTCCTCTGTTAGGAGTGGCTGGAATTAATGCCATAGTATTTGGTGTTTATGGAAATACGCAGAGGATTTTGAGCAATCCAGATTCGTTGAAAAGTCATGCTATAGCCGGTGGAGCGGCTGGATTGTTTCAAAGCTTCATCTGTAGTCCCATTGAACTGGCCAAATCTAGATTACAGGTAAATTTCTGAAAAAATATATGGAAAGTAT